CTATGTTGACCCCTTCCGCATACGATTGTGCTACAGAGGACAGCACTGAAGATACAGCCCAGGGAGTGTGGCCGGTCTGCCCTGACCACATGGGAGCAAACTAACAGGGAAAGAGAGAGAGAGAGTGGACTGCATCCTGGCCCACCACGCCCCAGGACAACATTCCTGCTTGGATCAGCCAAGGCACAGAGAGGATCATGGGGCTGGCCCCACCATGAGACACAGCATTCCCTCACTGACCCACAGCGCTGCAGGGAACAGCACTGGAGACACAGTGCAGGTTTTGTGCCTGGTCTCACACACACACACACACCAGCGTGAAACACAAAGGGAGGGCAACAGAACAGCAAGGGGGAGCAAAGCAACAAAGTCCCCAAGGAACCCCGAAAACAGACTTCAGACTTGGAAGGTAGGGCTTGGCACCTCATCAGACTGGATCAGAAAACATACATGAGGGTCAGCAGACAGACCTAGAACTATTTATAGGAGCCCCCCTTTTTTTCTTTCCTTTTTTTATTTCTATCTATAGGAAATAGGCAAGACAAACAATCCAGAAAAGAAAACAACGGGACCAACAGTTCCCGGGGGACAGGGAGAGGTTAAGGTAGCGTAAAGGGAGAGGGGAGCCAAAAGACCCAGGGACAAGGGAACAACAAGAGATCTAAAATCAATGGCGAGGAGGGTGTGGAACCCCTAGTGGGGTTTGATCAAGTGCAATGTAGTTGAGGAATTACTAAGAGCCAGATAAAGGTCAGACATGATAGTGGGACAGGAGGAAAGTAAAAGGAAATAGAGGAAAAAACTAGGAGGCAAAAGACATTATAGAGGTATAAATCTAGACATGTATATATGTAAATATATTAATATGTAACGATAGTGATATAGGTCTATGTACATATATTTATATGCTAAGTATCAAGGTAGCAGGTGGACATTGGGCCTCTGCTCATGCCCTCCTTCAACACAAGAACACTTTGTTCTAATAACCTGGCATTCTGTGATGCTCATCTGCCCGACACAATCACTGAAGTCAAAAGGGGTACATAAGCAAATGTGGTGAAGAAAGCTGATGGTGCCCGGCTATTACAAGATATAGCATCTGAGGTCTTAAAGGCTTGAAGTTAAACAAGCGGCCATCTAGCAGGGAAGCAACAAAGCCCACATGGAAGAAGCACACCAGCCTGTGTGACCATGAGATGTCGGGGGGATCAAGTGTCAGGCATCAGAAGACCCAAAACAAACATTCATATCAATGTGAATGAGGGGGTTGGAGTAGAGACCCAAAGCCCTTCTGTAGACAATTGGACATCCCCTCACAGAACAGTCACAGGAAGGGACGAGCCAGCCTTGGTGGAGTATAGCACTGACAAAACACACATTTCTCTAGTTCTTTAATGCATTCTCCCCTGCCCCCACTATCATGTCCCCAGATCTACCTTACAAATCCGGCTAGTCCAGATAAGAGCTCTGGACACGCAACATATGTGCCAATGTGCTTGTGACAATGGATGGATGTATGGATTGTGATAAGAGTTGTACAAGCCCCCAATAAAATGATTTTTAAAAAAAGAGCTCTGGACACATGGAATCCAGGACAGATAAACCTCTCAAGAACGAAAATGGAGTAGCAATATCATGAGGGTAGGGGGAAGGTGGTGGGAGAAGGGGGACAAAGGGGGAACCGATCACAATAATCAACATATAACTCTCCTCCATCACCACCCCTGAGGGGGATGAACAACAGAAATGTGGGTGAAGGGAGACAGCAAATGGTGTAAGATATGAAAATAATAATAATTCATAATTTATCAAAGGTTCACGAGGTGGGGGGGGGAGGTGATACCAAGGGCTCAAGTAGAAAGAAAATCTTTTGGAAATGATGATGGCAACATATGTAATACAATTCTGTAGACAATTGGACATCCCCTTATAGAACAGTCACAAGGAAGAGATGATAAAGCATACAAGTTTCCTCTAATTCGTTAATGCTTCCTCCCCACCCACTATCATGGCCCCAATTCTACCTTACAAATCCAGCTAGATCAGAGCATGTGCACTGATACAGATAAGAGCTAGAAACACAGGAAATCCAACAGGACCAATAATGAGAGTAGCGATACCAGGAGGGCAGGGGGAAGGTGGGGGAGAAAGGGGGAATCAATCATAATGATCTACATTTAGCCCCCTCCTGGGGCGGGGGGTGGAAAAGTGGGTGAAGGGTGACATCGGTGAGTGTGGGATGTGAAAACATAATAATTTATGAATTATCAAGGGTTCATGAGGGAGGGAAGCGGGAGGGAGGGGGAGTGGAATGAGGAGCTGATGCCAGGGGCTCAGGTGGAGGGAAAATGTTTTGAAGGTAATGATGGCAATAAATATACAAATGTGCTTGACACGTATGTCTTGGATATATGTATGGATTGTGATAAGAGCTGGTTGAGCCCCCGCCCACTTGTGTGTCTGCCTCTTCATCTTATCTTAAAGTAGCAAGCTATGGGTCTAGCCTTAGTTATAGATATACAAGGAGTTAGCAGGAATGGAGCCCAGCCCTCAGGGAGTGAAGCTGGGTTTGAGGGAGTCAGGAAGTTAGAGCTCAGACTTGGTTGACTGAAGTTTACCTCGTCTTCCTTACAGAGTTCCAAGACAATTGCTGGACGTCACATTATCTTGCCTTAACACGATCAATTTTATTTCCTTACGCTTGGGGCATGTTCACCAAAAGTATTCTCTAAAGCACAACCTGTGAAAAACACCCCAGACAAATAACTTCTAACAAGCAATTCCTAAAACTGCACAGACTAGAACGCTGGCCCTTGTTCCTATTACGTAGCACGCGGTTAAACCATTCCAAGTAGCTGGGTCATCTTTTAAGAGCAACACAAATGGAGCTTCCCGACGTCTGGCTGCCACTTAATTCCAAAATGGGGCAGCCATTTAGTTGTGCCCGAAGCCTCCTTTTCTCGAGGAATCTAGGTACCAAGTTGGTCCCTTCCCCTTCTCCAGGATGTGAACCCAGTAGCCATAACTTGTCCCTTCGTTCCCACAGTTCTCAAAAGTTTGGATCTACTGCCCACACATAAATAAATAAATAAATAAAGGAAGGAAGTTCCATCAGCAGTTTGCAAAGGAACAATTTGGAAGAGAAATATATTAAATCCCTGGGGAAATTAAACCCAAATAATCCAATAACAGCTTTACAAAATTAACACTAGACCATGAATTGAATTAATTGCCTGCTACTGTGGGGATTTTGGGCTACCAGGAGCCCAAACAAATGAGCCCAATGTTGTAAGTCGCCTTAAGAGAGGCAGGGCATCGGCCACTGTAGCCTTTCAACTTCTGATTTCTTCTGGAATCATTGTACAGAGAAAGGTCTTCATGGTCCATCTCACGCCTCACATTAGAGTGCGTGGGTGAGACAAGTGACAGTGTTTGGTGCTAAAGCTGCAACTATATGACTGGCACGCGTTTGTAAATTCATCCCTAGACCCAGCTCACTCAGAAACAGTCTGCCAACTCGTCAATTCGGACAGAATAGAACTGCCCTGTGAGTTTCCAAGGCTCTAGACCAGCGGTTCTCAACCTGTGGGTTGCGACCCTTTGGGGGTCAAACGACCTTTTACAGGGGCCGTCCGATTCATAACAGTAGCAACATGACAGTGATGAAGTAGCAACGAAAATACTTTTATGTTCGGGGGCGTGGGGTCACCACCACACGAGGAACTGCATTAAAGGGCCGCACATTAGGACGGTCGAGGACCGCTGCGCTACACTTTCATGGGAACAGAAAGTCTCATCTTTCTCCCGAGGAGCCGCTGGTAGTTTGGAACCACTGACATTGAGGTCAGCAGCCCGACACATAACCTGCAATGCCACCAGCTGGCTGCTGCTGTCGTTATGAAGTAGGTCCTGCCCCATAGTGGCCCGATGTACAACAGAACAAAATGCCGCCCATCCTGTGTCAGCCCCACAATTGTGCTGGAAATCAGCGGAAGGTCATGTTCTCCTAAAAGGGTTGAACAGGCAGGTGCCTGTGCGAGTGAAATCGTTTCTCGAGCGCCTAGAAGCTCTGAAACACGCACCTTGGCATTTCAGGAAATGTACTTTTATTTCTGCAAATTCCTTTCATGGGCCACAAAGCCAGTGTGCCTGTGGTAATGAGAGATTATCCAAATACTATGGACCAACACCCGCATGTGGGGGGACTTAACCAAACCTCTGCTGGGGTCCACAGGGGTTTCCTGGAGGAAAGCAGAGGCCGTCTGCCATAGAAATAAAATCCTGGTGCTTTACACAGATTCACCAGAGAAGGCCCAGCCTGGACGGGCCTCCAGCTCCTCCAGAGGCGGCCACTTTGTGCACGTGCCTGAGGGTAGGCTCCTCCACTTTCCTCGCGTGACAGCTGACATTTACTCTGAGAGCCTTTTAATAACCAAACGGCATTTTACAAAATGTTTAATGAATGACATTTATTTTCCTATTGCGTGACTCTAGATTCTTTTCACATTCTTAATTGTGTTTGACATTTTGAAAATAATATGCCTAACCCTTTTGTGTGACTTTAAAAAAAGGGGGTGCGGGCAGACTGAATACTTTTTTTTCTTTGAACTCCCCTCATGAATTGACGCAAACACCCCAAACAACATCGTTTTTAGGGCAAGCTCAGAGAAATAGTGCATTCTGTTTGTCTGGAATCTTGATTACTATCACCCCAAACCTGCCTAATTAGAATCTCTTTCATAACGAGGAAAATTATGTTCAAAGCTAATGGATTTGTAAGCAGAGGCATTCCTGACTCCCCAGAATAAATGAGCCACATTCTTTACATGCATGCTTTTGTTTCCCACTGTAATGAACATCGACACGGAAAGCATGTGGCTCGATGTCACGGTGTGCAGACACTTTCCTTTGTGTTGTAGCCGGTATAAAAGACCACAAGCTCCCTGCCTGTTAGACACGGAGCTGCGCATCTGAACTTAATTTGGGCTGGTTCTCACAAAATGGAAATGATTGCATCCACACGGTTCGTTGTGTTGGCCCTAGCCACTGCAAGCCTGCTGGCGTCGAGCATCTTTTGTGCAGACGATTTCGCCATGCACCATCTTCACAGCAGGGAAAATGCTGACAAACGTGCTGAGGTGAGTCCTTTTAAAACGGAGAGCGACCAGACTGACCAAGTAATGCGCACTTGGTAAAATGTGAGGGAGGACCAAGTCCACTCGTGCTGTGCTTTGGGTTAAACGTCAGCCTGGCTGTGACAGGGTCGAGACAGACGGAACTCACATGACGGAGCGCAGTGACAAAGGGCCTCGGGACGAGTTGAGCAGCGACCTAAAAAGGGAGGGGGATTCGGGCTCATTTTACTTTTCTTCTTTAAGCTTTCCGAGATTTTCCAAATTTTATGACGTGGATACGTATAACATTGGACAATCAGAAAGCATCATTTAAGAATCTTCATATGGACTGACTAACATGATAAAACAAACAAAATAAAAAATATAAACTGCCACCCATTCAGTTCGGCCACAGCAAGCCGATAGGGCAGAGTTGAACTGCCTTCATGGGTCCCTAGCCTGTGAGTCTTCAGAGGCAGACTGCCACGTGTCTCATCCACAGAGCAGCTAGCGCTGCAACCCAGTGGCCTTGCAGCTAGCAGTCAAGTGTTTTAACGGAAGCCATCGGGGCTCCTTCCTGGTAGAAGTAAACCTAGCTAAAGGTTCACTAGAGAGTGGTGTGTCAGGGGTAGGGTATCCCAGAGAGACATGATGTAGGGTCGAACAAAACTACTACCTGTGTCTGCAGACATTCTCGTGGAGTAGAGCTCAGCGAACAAAGGGGAAACAAGGTCCTGCTCGGCCCTCAGCAACCATTCCCCAGGACCTACCTATCGTCCGCTTCCAGGCCTCGGCCTCTTGGGTCTTTAAAAAGGAGACGAGACACGGCGAGTGGGGGTGAAGCTTTTCTAAAATCAAAACATGAAGTATGTCAAATATCCCATCAACAAAACGAGTCAAAGAACGGAAAGGGAATGACTACAGTAAAACTTTTGCTTCATTTTAATACTTCATTGTGTTCCTGCTGCTTGAACACATTGCTGTAGTCACTATATATATTATTAATATTTTATAGTTGTCTTACAATAGTCTAGGGACTGAGAAACTAGATTGCTTTAAGCTTAATGCAAATTATTTATGAAAAATTCTGCACATGAGCACACAAACTTTATCGCCTTAACTAATCGGCAAATTAAAGTGTGAATTTAAGTTGATTTGGAGTTGAAGAAGTCTGTTGCTTTGTAAAAATAAGAAACGATGATAATGGTCATATCTAATTTTAGCACAGAGGGAACCCCAAAGGGGACCGAGAAGGAAGCTTCCATCTTGAAGAATTGAAAGATTGGGACCCAAAAGGCATCCCAAAGATGAGTCTACCGGCCGTCAACAGAATTCCACACGCGGCTGCCAACCTGCCGCTGAGATTTGGGAGGGCCATGGAAGGAGGAGGTGTTGGGCCGATGACCACCTTGCCTCTGAGGTTTGGAAGAAATATGAAGGGGAGCATCTTGAGACGTGTCCCTAACCTGCCCCAAAGGTTTGGGAGAACGGTAGCGGTCAAAAGTGTCACCGGGACCCTGAGTGATTTAATCCAACAATCCATGACCTCACCATCTGTCGACTTCCTCTACTCCATGAGCTGCCTGCCCCAAGAATTCCAGAATCCTGACCTTCGAAAGCACCCAAGGTAAATGCCTAGTGACCCGTGATAGCAAGTTGGCCTAGAAACTTACAAACATCACATCTTCTCTTTTTTTAAAAAAAATCATTTTATTGGGGGCTCGTACAATTCTTATCACAATCCAGCCATCCATGTGTCAAGTGCATTTGTAATCTTTTCAAAGTGAGTGTCGAAGAAGGAGAACAAAAAAACCATGGGAATACACCCCTCTGTGTGGAGGGGGCTAGGTATCCAAGCACGGCTATAGGTACAGACTACTGAGCTGAGCTGTCCCGCACCTGAGCACCGGGCTCACATGGTAAGTCCCTGCAAGGACACGAGTGGGCATTTCCCAACGTCGCGTCTGGTGTCTGATCCCTGTAATATAGATGGTCCCAAGTAAGGGAGCACCCACAGCACCAAGATTTCGATCTCCGTCACCCAGGTCTCAAAGTCAGGTTTCTGTCCCCAAATTTTACCAGGCCTTTTCCTTTTTCCTGGATCTTGTTTTATAAATGAACACTGATATCATTCTGTGCCTCAAATATAAGTATTTGTACTCAATATCTGAGCCCAGGAGACACACTGATTAAGAGTTTAGTTGCTAAACTGAGAGGTGGGGGGTTCGACCCTACCGGCAGATCCGTGATAAAAGGCCTGGCGATCTGCTCCCATCAAGATGACCGTCTAGAGACCCCGCGGGGCAGTTCTACTCTACCCTATAAGGTTCATGTGAGTTCAAACCCGCCTGCCAACGCTGAACGGCAACAGACACAAACCAGAGTGCGAGGTGCTGTGACAAACTCAAAATAAGTTATCAGCTACCTATCTATTATTACCTAGTAGAGAGCACAGGTAAAATAAAAATGCTTTCACAAAAGCTTGAACATGACAGTCTAATTAAGACCGGAAGGACGGAAAGTGGCAAGCTGTATCTATATCGCCTTATCAATAAGACTTTCTCAAACAACCCCTGGCTCTCTTTCATTGTATTTCTCTCTGTGGTATTTATCCCCATCTGACATAACACTGGAGATGTAGTGGGTTACAAGGTGGGCTGTTAACTGCAATGTCAGCAGTTCAAAACTGCAAGCTGCTCCAGAGAGAAAGATGAGGCTTTCTACTCCCATAATGATCTACAGCCTCAGAACCCCACAGGGGCAGTCCTACCCTGTCTTATGGGATTCCTGTGAGTCGGAATTGACTCGATGGCAGTGAGTTTGGTTTGGGCATATTATAGTCTGGGTGTCCCACCTCTTTGCTAGAATTTCGGTTCTCTAAGTCCCCAAACGTTTGCTCCTCGTCCTGTCCCCAGTGTGCCTAGAACTATGGCTGGCACCTACTAGGCCTTCGCCTTTTGCAGGATGAATAAAAGGATATTAGATGGCACTCATGGAGTCCCACTGAAGTTCAGACAAAGCAGGGTTCTTTCCCGGCTGGTAGGAATCTCAGGGCATTTCTTGAGTGGGGCTTTGAAGGGTGGCTCTGTTTTGAATGTTCTAAGAGTGGTAGGAGAGGAGAAGATACGCAGAAGCAGTAAAGTGAGGTAAGCCAAAGACCGCTGGGGTAGGGTTCAGCAGGAAAGCTCGAAGAGTTTGCCGGGGCAGACGAAAAGAAGGCTCCACAGGGAAGGCCAGAGTACAAACATTTGGGGTCTTCACCGGGATCAGGAGAGCCGTGCAAGTTTCTGCTGGGACATTGACACGTTATACCCAGGTTGAACTTGACAGCTGATCAGATGGTGGGAGCTGGATGACGGTGTGGGAAAGGTGAGCCAACAGGAAGTTTTGTTTTGTTTTGTTCGATCTGAGGACCATGCCAGTTGTCGTAGCCTCATCCATAGCCTACTCATCTCAAGAGCAGCACAATTCAACTCAAGCATAATTAAGCAATTAGGAGCATGGTCTGTCTTTTGATAAGCCTCTCCAGGCTCTTGCTGTGATGAATGAGACCGTGTTGTATTGCTTACCTTTTAGGAAGCCGGTGTTCAAGAAAATAGACGATGCAGAACTGAAACAAGAGAAATAAGAAAGCTGGGGCTTCCCCTGAAGATGTCACCCTGCCGGGTCCCTCACCTGCCAACAGTCCCCCGAGAGGCAATGAAGCGTCATGGCCCTGGTTGGCATGGCGCTGAATTTTTCCTTGGGAGGAGAGGGGTAGCCCTTTAAAGATGAATAGTAATGTACGCTGGAAATAATCATTGTCTAAATCAATAAAAGTATATTGCAAATATTAAAGCAGCCTCTGGTCATGGCGAGAGACAGAGTGACTAACCACGTGACTAACCAGTTGCCAACGAGTGGATGCAGCCTCAGGGCAAACTCGTGTGTGTCCCAGTAGAACTGCACTCAGTAGGGCTGTCGAGAGCTGCCTTTGCAGAGTTAGACCAGCAGCCTTTCTTCCCAGCCTCTCGGGATGGGCTCCAGCCTGTCTGTGAGCACTCCAGGGCATTCACCGGTGTGCACCAGCGGGCGCTGCCACCTTGAGAAAAGTATTCGATCACAGTGGAGGAGGAGCCTGGCAAACATGTTGATGAAAAATGGGACAATGTCACAGAATGGCCTGGTTGAGGAATATGAGGAAGCTTCTAAAAGCTCGTGGAAAAAAGAAAATGAAATGATCATGGAATTTTCCCACGAACTTTCTGAAGCTCCCCTGTCGGTGTACATGTAATTTATAAACATATAGTCATGCACCCATGCAATTTCCCCCATTAGAGCAACTGTTAGTAAGCCTTTGATAGGTTCAAATGTAAAACCTGTTATCCCCCGTGTCCATTTATAATAGAAAGCAAACGCTTCGATGTGGAGAGGGTGGGAAAAGGGGTCATGACTTTCTCTCTCTCTCTTTATATCTGGACATTAGCCTGCTGTTGTGCCTCCTTTCTCCTCAGTTAATATTTCATGACTTGAATTCATTAAATAAAAAAATCTGGTCACTCTTAAACTAACCATCTATAAGCACAGCACACCACATCGCAAACGCACAGTGTATTGACTTTAGTCATAGGAATATGAAGCCCTTCATCAGATATAACCGGTTCATTGAACAGCCTCTGGTCCGCAGCAGCGCAGAGAGGAAGTGGCTTTATTGCTCTCCCATCTGCCCCCAGCTGTGCTAAGTTGTCTCCTCCCCCTGCTGGGGAGAGATCCCTTAATGATCCCCTGAGCAGATTCTATAACTTCCTTGGCCACTTTTCGATATTAAAAAACTCAGTCACGTCCAGTTCAAGACACAACCTCATAGCCAATGCTGTTTCCCTTCCCCCACAGCTGGCTGGGTTGGTGGCTGGAGGAACCTAAGGTTAGGGACCAGGGGGTCTGCTCTTTCTCGCTTCCTTCCAGTGGTGTTTGGCTGCGAGCAGAAAGGTTGGCAGTTCAACCACCCGCCTTCCCCATCAGCCGCTCTCCCGGAGAAAGACCTTGCACCAAGATAATAGTTAAGAAAACCCGAGAGGCAGGCCGACTCTGTCACAAGTTTGCTACGAGTTAGAATTGCCTGGAACGTACCCTTCCTCGCATCAAGGTGGGATGGTGAGATGGGAAAGGGTCGGCCTCCAGGAAAGAGTCTTCCCCTCCTAGCTTCTCCAGGGTGTTGTAGGAGGTGGAATGGAGGTCAAAGCCATTGATTCCTCAACAGGTAAGTTCCTGGGGACATGCCATCGGGACCTGTGCACCACCCAGGTCACTGACCTGGGAAACCTCCAGACCATTGCTTTCTTCCGACGACCTTGACCATTTTCCTCATCCCCTCTTACTGCTAGAAGGAAAGGCTCACGCTGACACCCTTGAGCTATAAATAATGCAGACATCCATAGGTGGGACTGCTGACTCTATCTATCCCACATCTCTCCCGATTCTGTCCCCTGGCTTAGGAGGGCCGAGGGAAGGTCAACAGGTTCACCGTGCAGGCAAACAGCAGTCTGGGGATGAAATGACAGCTCCCTCTTCACAAAAATGTCTCACTTGCTTTGAGTGATTCTCTGGCTTCATGGGAGAGACAGCTGTAGAGGCCTTTCGGACCCTAAACTCACAACTACAATCCCCAGTTGGTACAAACAGTTCAGTGTTTAACTATTAACTGAAATGTTGTCGGTTCGAATGTGTCAGAAGTGCCTCAGAAGAAAGACCTGGTGATCTGCCTCCAGCGGTCCACCTTGCACCCACTCCCTTCACATACGACTTAAGAATTCTAGGTCTACTAGACCCAGAATGATTTAAGCTGTCAAAGATTTCATCTTGCTTTGATCCATAATCAAAGCTCACAGATACAGCAGTCCAGTGGTCAAATGGTGTATTGCATGAGGCAAATCTGCTGCATCAGACCTCTGTAAAGGGTTGAAAAGCAAGGATGTTACTTTGAGGACTAAGGTGCGCCTGACCCAACCATGGTATTTTCAGCGGCCTCATATGCATGTGACAGTTGGACGTTGAAAAGAGAAGACCAAAAGAGAATCCATGCATTTGAACTACGGTGTTGGTGAAGAAAATTGAAAGTACCATAGACTGCCAAAAGAACAAAACGGATCTGTCTTGGGAGAAGTACAGACAGAAAGCTCCTTAGAAGCAAGGACAGTGAGACTTCATGTCACGTACTTCGGACATGCTGTCAGGAGAGACCAGTCCCTGGAGAAGGACATCACGCTTGGTAGAGTGGAGGGCAGTGAAACAGAGGCAGGCTCTCAATGAAATGACTGACACGGTGGCTGCAATAATGGGCTGGAACATAAGAACAGTTGTGAGGATGGTGCAGGCAGGGCAGGGCTTTGCTCTGTTGTGCAATAGCATCACTGCTGGTTGGAACCAAGCCAGTGCACCTAACAACAGATTTGGGGTTTGGGTTAAAACTTCACTTTGGGCATCTTTTATTATAACAGTGTACCTTTAAAAACAACAACAACAATGGTGGATCTCTTTTGAGAAGGAATGTTCACAGCTGCTAAAAACATGATGTGTCCTCTGACTCATTACATGCTATCAGTGTATTTTTCTGGGGTGAGCATTCGTAGTTCCCATGAAGATGCCCAAGGGGGCCTGTGATCCCAGAAAGCTTAAGAATCACTGCAGTAGAAGATTTTCATTGCCAAAATTATTTTCAATTCCAATCGAGTTCAAGTGGTAATGAATGCCATCATCTGACTGGTTATCGACTCAAGGCCCCAAATCCAAAACCACCAATGATCGCTCAGTGACTGCTTGTTCTTCTTCCAGAGACCACACTGGAATAGCACAGAATGAAAGTGAGGTGGTAGCAATACTCCATTCTCTGCCCTCTCCCTCTCCCAACGGTTCCCATGGAAACCCCACAGGGATTGGTCCAAGCCTACCTCAGCTGGCCTGCGCAAGTGAGCAGAGTGTGAAGGCTCTGGAACAGTGGTTCTCAACCTGTGGGTCGCCACCCCTTTGGGGGTCAAACGACCCTTTCACAGGGGTCGCCCAATTCATAACAGTAGCAAAATTAGAGTTATGAAGTAGCAACAAAAAATAATGTTATGATTGGGGGTCACCACAACATGTGGAACTGTATGAAAGGGTCGCAGCATGAGGAAGATTGAGAACCACTGCTCTGGAGGAAGGCTGGTGATCTGACCCTCACGACCAGTCCAGCAAAGACTGTCACAGAAGGAGACTTCCACCGGATCTCAGGTCCCCATATCACCCATCATACTGTGACAATGACCTGAAGGTGGAGAGGAACAAAAAGTACTATCTCAGGGACAGCTGTTCCACGAAGAAGAACGAAAGGCCCATGTTCCCCCAACAGTGACCCACAGAGCAAGAGAGGAGAGGGTGAGTGCCGGCCTCCGCTTACTCCCTTGTGGTGTTTTTTTCCCCAAGATCTTGAAGCCTTACCTGACATCCTTCTTTTGGAACCTGCGATGTCATGGTATGAGCATTCCCAGTGACGAGCTGTTTCTGAAGACAGACTTGCCTGTGCTCGTCTCTCCAGCTTCGTCAGCCTTCTGCCTAGCCAGTCAAGTTCAGATGCAGCTGGCAAGACACATGGAACTCGTGCCTGAGCTGGAGAAGCCATGTGGACCTACCCTGATGCAACCGGACCCCTGAAGCCAGAGGAGCCACGTGGGACCCCTGCCAGCGCTGAGATGCTTGCAGCGCCACTGGACCCAAAGACTTTCTACCTACTGCCCTGTGAGCGTCCTGCATGTGGCGTCATTGCGTGTGTTTCATGAGTCTGAAGAGGACTTTATAGATTGGTATGATATACGGGCTAATATTGGACTTATGGGCTTGGACTGGACTGGGTTGAAATGCTTTCTTCATGTGCAATAACCTTTTATATAAAACTCTCTCTTATGGGAACCGATTACATGGAACTGTGTGTGACCTCCTCCCTGGGGGACAGACAACCAAAAAGTGGGTGAAGGGAGACGTCGGACAGGGCAAGATATGACAAAATACCCATTTATAAACTATCAAGGGCTCATGAGGGAGGGGGGAGCGGGGAGGGAGGGGAAAAATGAGGACCTAATGTCGGGGGTTTAAGTGGAGAGAAAATGTTTTGAGAAATGATGTACAAATGCGCTTTACACAATTGATGTGTGTATGGATTGGGATAACAGTTGTATGAGCCCCTAATAAAATGTTAAAAACAAAAAACAAAAAAACTCTCTCTTATACACAAATGAGTTTCTATGGATTTGGTTCTCTAGTCTACCTGGACTAACACAGTCCCCGACAGGCAAAAACCAAGAGGCATGGGAAAGAGCCCTGGTCTCCACAGAGGAGGAGCAAAGCAAAGAGGTGCTTTTGAAAAAAAACACACCACCCCTTCACTTCCTCGTTCATGTCACTGATTGCTCTGGGCTGGAATTAGAGTTTCTTCATCAGACGGGTTGTGTCATCCCCTATCAAGCAACTAGCTTTGTCTGCCCAGTATAGATAGATAGATAGATAGATAGATAGATAGATAGATAGATAGATAGATAGATAGATAGGTGTCATCCTGCCATGGAGAATCTATGTACATCAGAACAAAATATCACCTAGTCCTGCACCATCCTCACAAAT